CTTTCTCTGTGTTAGAATGAAGGAAAAAATAAAATGTGGTTTTTGTTTTTAGACCGACGGATGGTCTATTCTGACGAATTACAGCTTCTTAGCTAATATTTGTGGTTTTGCAGTTAAATCAATGTAAAAGACAAACACACATATACACTTGGAAAAGCACAGTTAGAAAGAATAATGTGCAACTCACGAACCTTATAACCTCTAAGCTGGAGCAACACTTTAATAAGGCTGGCCAGCTGATTACCCGTACTTCGACGATAACTGATAAATACATCAATCTGCTTGCTCAGTATCGCTACTTCAATATCATCAATATGTTTGCTGTCTGCAAAAAAAAAAATGAGTTTTACTCAAAAGCATTTCTCGTGCCCTAAAAACCGAGATTTTTTGGAGAAAAACTTAACGAGAGGGAGAAGTAAAGAATGAATAAGGAAAGACTTTTTGAGGGCATCCATGTCATCGAATTTCTTTAACAAGTTGGCATTTTCAAGCAGTCACGCTCGTAATCCAACAACTTAGGCTCGTAGGAACCAATGGTGCAACAGTGATATGGTATAATGAAAGACTGGAACGGAATGAAATATTGAAAAGGAGGGCACTAAAATAAAAGGACCGGAAGGAGATTTGTCGATTCTCACTCGGCCCATCATTTCTATTTGCAGAAAATGCTCCATTTGCAATATCTCCGACTATACTTCCATTTCTGTTGTGGCTAATATTTCAGTTATAAAAAATTATTAATATTAGTCAAAATTAATGGAAAAATTAAGTACTATAATCCAAAAAATAACAGAACCCCTTTCTGTTGAAAAATAAGCAATAATCAAGATTTTGCGCTTGTAAATGGGATCCGCGATGTTAGGAGCTACAGCTTTATTTCCCGGACTGCATCTTCTAGAAGGTGAATTGGAAAATTTTTGAACACGATTTAAGCGGAACTTTACAGATGCACTAAAAAGCAATGAAGAAACAGCAGAAAACGGCTGATGGACAAAAGCCACTGCAAAAAATTGGTGTTTTTAACGATCTTGAAAAAGTGGACT